AAGGACTCCAGAAAAAAGACAGATATTAATGAAAAAGGAAACAACCTAAAAATGAACGTGGCTAAGGCTACCCCTCAGATTTGACCTTCGATACAGAAAGGAAAGGAGTTCCACACTGGAACTGTTAAAACAAGGAAAAACTTACAAGCAAGCAATCAAAGAGTCCGTCACCATATGGCTCGTGAGGGTATGGGACATGGGAACAAACGTCATCAGTCTAGGTCCTTCAGAAGCTTCACAGATGAGTTATATAACCACCCATCTGTCCTTGCGATATAGGCTGCTCAACCTAGGCCAATGTAGGGGGGAGCAGTCCTTAATGGGGTGGCTGGTTGAAGGCATTAAAGATACATGGTCACCACCAAAGGAAACTTCCATAATTAACAGAGGCTGGATGACTATAAAGGAGGGACAGGCATTACTGAGAGAACGAGGTATGAGAAAAGCAATATATGAAACCCAGTTCACTGGGGCCAGATAAGACTGTGTTCACCAGAGACATAAAGGAAAGCTTAATTCAACTGGGACCTCAAGAGTGGTATGGAGCTTTAATGGTTTTGCTAAGTCCTTTAATAGGACAGGATTTTTGTAAGGTGAGAGAGGCTTTAACAGATCTAAGTGACTCTGACCAGTGTGCAAAATGTGTCTGTAGAACAACAGAGCACCCTACAAGAGATATTAAAAAAATAAAAAAGATCAGACAGAAGAAATGGTCCGTGTGGGTCACTCGAAGACAAATGTGGCAAGACTTATGTCAAGCCCAAATTCCCGAAGAAAAAATTGATAGAAAACCAAATTTGGTACTAGGGAGCTTCTGAAAAGCTTTAAAACCAGAACAGCAGTTTACAAAAGGCATTCAAAGGATAAAAACTGTCCCAGGGATGGTTAAGAATCCCCAAAGATTGAATAAGGTGCATTTCTCTCCTGATAAATGTTTTACTAGGGATGGAGGCAGTTTTTCCCACCAAGGCCTCCCCCAGCAGCCAGATATGGTCACTGGAGAGATGACAGATATGGCTACAGTCAGGAGGCAGACCCAGGGCCTGCCTGACTCAGGGAACCAGCAGGTGCAGCAGGAATAAGAGAAACTTCTTGCCTCCTTAGCCCAGTGCAGGGTCAGGCAACTGGAGCCAACACCTGTAAGTGTATCAAAGATAAAAGAATACAAAGAGACTCCATGCAAGATCCCCAGAATGCAGAATGACTCCCAAGGGCTAACTAAAGATAGTAAAGAACTAATCAAATTAATGCCTCTCACCCATGCTATGGTACCTAACAAAGATCTATGGAGAAAACAGTTAATATGAATGTACAAAACCTTTCCATGCTGTGTTAGACCTTGTCTATGATTGATTTAATATAGGATGTTAACCTTCCTTCGAGTGCTTTACAGATGTGAAACCCATTTAAAAGATACCTGAAGAAACAAAGGCAGGCTACAGCTGTAAGATTTTGGGGAGTTTTATGGTTGGGTAAGATAAGAAGAGAGGCTTCCAAACTATACAATTGTTAAGAAAATCTACAGTACCAGGGATGGGTTGCCCCCCCCCCATGGGCTGTTGGTCAGAGAGAGATCCTAGAGGTCCTCAAATTCACCAAGGCTATTGCCACTAATGTCAGTTGTACACTAGAAAGGTCAGTAAGGCCATGTTGCTGAGGACATTGCATGATGTGAGTGTGGGAGGAGAAAAAGAGATGGAGCTGAGACTAAGCCAAAAACTCCACGCCACTGGATAGATGACGTTCATAGTACCAGAAGGTGCTATGAAGATGGTTGGGGAAGAAAGGATCCCCTATGATTCTACTCAACAATGGACCCCATGTGCTATACACTATGGACATAGCAAGCAATGCTGCAAGTTCAATAATGGCTCAACTAACATACATACAACTGACAAATTTCTAATTGGATAAGGCCCACTCCTAGGGGTGGAACACACCTCTGGTGCTGTAGGCCAGGCCAACCCTCTGTGTTGAGAAAGGCTACAGGCCCTAGTGGGGAAGCCATCACAAGTATGCTGTTTAATGAATAAGGTACACCTACTGGGCTATCTTCTGGACATTTGCATTTACATTCAAGTTTGTTTAGATGTGTCTACTTCCCTCCATTTGTCTTTATAGTAGAAGAAACACCACTGAGATAGATCAATGGCCACAGCTTAAAGACTAGGCCCAAGAAGTCATTATCTCACCATGATACAAGAGAGACCACCCTACATCTGTCACTCCCTCCAAGGCTCAGGGACCTTAGTGGAAGATTGGCAGAAAGATTGTAAGAGCTGGAGGAAGGGGTGGAGTGTGTCCCAAGGGGCACTTGTTCCTCCGAGGGGCAGGGCCTGCTGTGGAGAATTGGCTGCAGAGAGTTAGCTATGGACAGGGATCTGTGGAGAGTTAGCTGCAGAGGGAGGAGCGTTGGTGCCATCTTGGCAGCAGCAGTGTGAAAAAATGGCCCCAGTGTCTTGTCCACATGGATGTGAGAGGGGGCATTTACCAACCTGAGGCAAGACTGTGGGCCCACAAGGCATGGACAAAAGCTAATGGAGACTGTGGGTGGGGTACGGAAGCAATGTGGAATGGCAGGCCACTGAGCCACAGAGCAGAACAGGGCACTGGGTGTTCATCTTTGTAAGTTACTCTTTTTCCCCTACCCAGGATATAAACTGTGAAAAATTCAGATAAAGATGTGTTATGTGGTTTATCTAATAGTGCCAGAAGCAAGGGACCCTAAGAGAACTAGGGAAATAAGGTCAGAGGACACCTTGCAAAATCTGTTCTCTCTTTCCACTGTGTGTGCTCCATGTGAAACTCAGCTTGTCAGTCTTGGAAGCAAGCACCTCTACCTGTTGAGACATCTCTCCAGCCCCTGATTCTCTTTCTTTTTCTCATCTAAGTGTTCATCCTTTGCTCTTTGGTGTCTTAGAACCTTGAGGAATTTTTACATCCCTGTGAAGACTTTGGATTTTAAGACTATGTGTATTTCTTTGAATTCTCCAGTTAACCTAAATTATGTGAGGGAGGTCACTGTACAAACATTTAGGATGAGCATTTCAGACAAACCAGACAGCAAGGAGTTGACATGTGTCTGAAAAAGACAAGTGAACAGGGGAAGAACAGCAAGAGAACTTGGAGCAGTCATGGAAAACCAATCACATGAGGCTTCGTGAGTCACAACTTTTATTTGGACTCTCGGAAGTGGAGGTGATCTGACTTGCTTTGAGGATGCTGTGATGGATGAGACTACAACAGACTGGGAAGAGCCACAGAAACACCAGAGAAGAGGCACCTGTTCATGTGAGAGGTGGTGGTGGTTGGCCAGGACAACAGCCACAGGGGTAAGGAGTCAGGTGGAGGAATGCATGTGAAGGGGCTGGAGACATGGCTCCGCAGTTAAAAGCACTGGCTGCTCTTGCTGAGGACCCAATGGCTCAGTGATTAGGAGCTCTGGTTGCCCTTGTCCTCACAAGCCACCCACATGGTGGCTAGCAACCGTCTTTAACTCCAGTTCCAGGGGAATCTGGTGCCCTCTTCTGGCCTCCCCCAGCATTGAATGCATGAGAGCACTTACATACATGCAGGCAAAAAAGTCAAACACATAAAAATAAAATAAAAATTATTTTTCAAAAAGTATGTTGGGAGTAGGAGCAAGATGATTTCCTGAAGAACAGATGGAGAGATCTGAGAAAAGAGGATGACAGTGAAAGTTGACAATGATCTCAACTTGAGCATATGAGAGGGACCATAAACATAAACAGAGCACGAGAAAAGCAAAGTTGGGGAAAGAAGAATGTCTTCAGTGTGTCCCAGCAAATATTTCCATTGACACACATATGCAAATGACTCATGGGTCAGTGTAGACACTGGTGTGGAGCTCAGGGGGAAGGAGAGGGTGGAGACAGAAATTTAGATATCATTAGAAAGTAGTTAAGGAAATCAGCGTTAGACCATCAGTGCTTTATATTAAGATAGAAGTTATTGATCTTTTGACATTTATACTTTGGAAGTCTTTATATGCTTTATTTAGTAAACAATAGAGAAATTGGTATAAAGCTGTGATTTTAAATTTACAGATTACATAATGTATTGATAAGGGAACTTTGAGTTTATTGAATCTGTAAGTTTTCTTCTTCTTTAGGGCATATATGGTTTAATTATTGAGGAACATTTTTGTTAAACCTCTTTGGTTTTATTACAGTTGAAGTTCTTAAGAAATAAATTCATTGTATGAAGTTGACAGAACAGTTACATTGTCTAAAGGTGAATAATTAGCAAACTTTGAAAATGGAGTATTATCCAAACGCCTTCCTGAAGGATTGGTAAACTTTACCCAGTTCAGGTAAGATTTGGACTTAGTTCTATGAAGGAGATAGATATGCTTTATTTTTATGTGAAAAGTAAAATAACTGAAAACTAGTAGAATATTTCTTATAATCTAGATCAGTATTTTGCAAACTTTAGAGGTTATCACATGCAAGATAAATGTACTTTACATCATAGTACACAGATTGAGCAAGAAGCCCCAAAAAAGGACATACACCTCACCGCCTGGCTTTAACTTTGATGAACCTTCCTTTAGCCTATACTACAGAGATTTTGCTACCTAACATAAGCCACAATTTAAAATATCACTGATCGGGGGCTGGAGAGATGGCTCAGCAGTTAAGACAGCACTTGCTATTCTTGCAGAGAACCTAGGTTTTGTTCCCAGCACTCACACAGTGGCTAACAACAATCTATAACTCTAGTTCCAGGGGATTCAAAACCCTCTTTTGACCTCCATGAGCGCTGCATGCATGTGGTGCATTTATATACATGCAGGCAAAACACTCACACACATAAAATAAAAATAAATAAATTGCACATATCACTGACCTAATGTAAGCCCAAGTTGTGAAAAGTTTTTGAAAGAGCAAAGGATGATGGATTCTATTTAAATAACTTAATATTTCAATTAATAATAAAACTTAATAAATTCTATTTAAATAACAGATATATTCACGTACCATGAAGGCATACTTTTTTATTGCCTGGATTACAGTTTTAAACATAAGCTTACTGGTGAGAGTATAACCGTGGTATACAACAGGTTCGTTCTGTGCTCCATCCCAGCAGTCAATTTCCAGACAGCGGCAGCCTTTCACGAGGGCACTAGCAAAATAGTGTCATAAATAGACGACAAATAATAGGTACCATAAGGTCAAGATATTCAGAAGACTATTTGTGCTTGTTTTAGGTAAAAGGTATAAGCCAATCTATAATAATGAAGTTTTGAGTACTTAGAAACTCACAACTTTATAAAGTAGCAACATAGTCCTTGTGTAGTATAGGTGATGCCTGTTCCTTTCTAGTCAACTCTCTCTCTCTCTCTGGTTTTTGAGACAGGGTCTCATGATGTAGCCCCAGCTGGCCTAGAACTTGCTATGTACACCACACTGGCCTCAGTATCACAATTCACTTGCCTGGGCATCCTGAGTGCTGAGATCAAAAGCATGGGCCACCATGCCTGGCTAGTTCCCTCTTTCCAAAGTTTACTATACAGTAAGAAAAAAAGATGTCTGCTTCTATAGTTATAGCTATGAAGGCCCTCTGCATCCAACTCAAATAATATTACTTATGATGATGTATATTATTAACTGTATTATCATCCAAATGGGATAGTGCCCAAAGCCATCTGAAAATTATACAATATATTAACAAATTTTATCTCATTTTTTTTCTTCATATCTCATTTTTGGGGAATGAAATATATGGTGAGAAAGGAAGGGGAGGGGAAGAGAAACCACAGCAATTCTGCTCCAGGGAGCAAAGAGGGCGAGCTTGACAGCTCAGCAAACAAGCGTGATCTTAACCCACGTCATCCAAAGCCTCCTCTAACACTGATCCAGGTAAGAAGTAGAGAAAATGAAAGTACATGATAGAAGCCTGGGTGCCTGCTCACCTGCACTGCTTTAACTCATTTCACTGGAGAAAGGTTTGAGTGACTGCTTCAGAATATACCAAGTTCACAGCTGTATCCAAACTGAAGAAAATATATTCCCACTTCTTCCCTCTAAAACTGATTTGATTTTCCACCTATCAAATAAATCAGCTTCTTGACCTAGACATAAATTCTACCTTAGGTTTAAAGTCGGTTGTATCCTCTGGGTATAAATGGCTTTTCAGAGTTCTTGTTCTGAGACAGTGACAGACACGTCAATAAACATATACCTTTATTTATATTGTCCATTGAAGCTGAATGCATTCAGATTTTTCTCTGACTTAACAGTAGTGAGCGTACACAAGTAGAGCTGTCTCCAAAGTCTGCAGGGACAGCCTTGAGGAGGTCATTTTATGTCAACGTGAAATAAGCTATGGTTTTTGCCGGAGTTCACTACAATATTTTTCATTTACTTACAGAAATTGCCCTGGAGATGTAGCCTGAGAGTCACAGAACTTATTTTCAATCCCCAGAATTACAAAACAGAATAGTTTAGTGAGTCATTCAAATGTATATAGTAGGAATAAGACGATTGTTTTTATTTCCAAGACACACAGTTGCACTGAACTGAACACCTCCCTTCTTTTGTTCTATAAGCCTGGCATGATGGGACGGCCATAAGCCAACCTCAGTACCAGCTCCATGCCACAGTGGAAAGATCTAATCTGCTGTGGCTTAGAATCCCCCAGTTCCCTAAGAGCAACAAGTCCTAGTCTTGTAAAAACTGTCTATTTCAGAATTAGCTATGAAGCAATGTTTCCATGCTTGTATTAGAAGAGGATGGGGTCTATAGAGAGGGGAAGGCAGAGCAGGAAAAATAACACTATTGGAAGAGACAGACGGAGCGCTGAACGGAAGCACAGCGATCCTAGAACTGATATCACCTATCAGGGAACGAGTTGAGGCAGCTCTCTTGCTGTACATAGAATGGTTCTCCAGAGAGAAGCAAGTTAAGGTTTATTTTCCCAGAGGTATATTAAATTGAGGTTGTGTTAACATCTCACAAGATGTTTTCTGGTGGCCACAATTGGAGATGATGGTAGGTACGAGGGAGGCACAACCAAGAACATGCTAAACATTCTATATGAGAAGGGCAGGCCACTACCACAAGAAATATTTGATTTAAACATGAAGAACACAAGAAAGGCTATGTTAAATCATGAGAGCATACAGGGGAGACTGCGGTCCCAGCACCACACACCTCCAGGAATCAGTAGTTCTCCCAAATAGAGCACCAGCTGACCAATGGAGAGTATGCCTTCAGAGCAAACACTTATTTTGAGTATCATCTTAGTCTTTTTCTAGAGAAATGAGTTGGGCAGTACTTGAGAGTACAGTGAGGAAAGATTAAGTAATTATGATAAGTCAATACGCTGAATCCAAGAAACAAAGGGATCATGCCTTCCCTGGGGAGTGACATGGGCAAAGGGGGGAGCAGAGTAGTGGAGGAAGAAAACCGGTGGGTTTTATCTATCTCGGAGGTATCACCAAGGCAAAGTAAGAAACCAAACGATTAATTGATTTTTTTTGAGGTTTTAGGGGTCCTTCACTTTTGCAGTGTAATTTCTTCGGGGATGCACTGATGACTATAATGTAAAGTCACACAGCTCTTGCCTGCATACCCTGCATTAAGGGCTTTCTCCAAGGCTCTCTAAGAAGAGAATTGCCTAAGCATTATCAGTCCTCGCAAAGGTAAGCAAGGTGCCCATTCTGGAATGAGACTCAAATTGGAAGTTTCGAAAGTATTTTATTTATCAATTTTATTTCATGTGTATGAGTATATCGCCTGCATGTATGTAAGTGCACCTGTGTCGTGCAATGACTGTAGAGGTCAGAAGAGGGTGTCAGATCCTCTGGAGTTGATGTTAAAGATGGTTGTTAGCTGCCATGTGGGTGCTGGGAATCGAAGCCAGGTCTCTACAAGAGCAGCAGCCAGTGAGTGCTCTTTGCTGAGCCATCTCTCCGGCCCCCACAAATTGTGATATTTTTGCAGAATTATAGATGAACACACTTTTTGACTGGTGGATTTTTTAAAACTAGTATTTAGATTTTTAAGTTAGAAAAGAAGGAATATTTACTCGTGATGTTTCTTAGCTCCCAGGAAAGGGTGTCTGCTCCTCAGCTGAGCAGCAAAGCAAACTGTCTCGCGCTTTTCACCAGTAGAGTACCCGTTCTCTGGGGTTCCACTGGACAATGACTGAACTCTGCACCGGCAGGAAGAAAAATTATCTCAAACTTGATGTGAAAAAAACTTTTCATGAAAACTTTCTGTCAATAGTACTGATTCTTGCTTTTACTCTAAATTGCCTTAACTTTATCCATAACCAATCAGTCTTTTCAAAACCATTTGGAGTACACGGTTTTTTTTTCCCCAACGAAAACATTTTAGGAAGATTGCGTAGTCCAGCGCCAACCACTTTTAGTCAAAGACTTGTAAAAGCCAGTCTTGTTTTCTCTGGAGGTAGCAGTGAGTTGGGTGAATCCTATTTCACGCTGATTCTCCTCTCAAGAATGAATGGGAGTCATTTCTCAGTCAGTAAGGAAACACTCTCCTTCTGGGGAGCTGTGTTGTTTTTATGATCATTGTAAATCTTATAACTAATCCTGTTCTTCTCTTGGTTCAGTGACTAGAAATATTTTGGGTGAATTTCTGCATGCATTCTAATCTGTACAAGACTTTCTGAGATGAAACTCCTACTTCTGACTTTCACTTATGTATCATTAAAATCTCCCTCGGATGCTGTCTATAAGGTATAAGGGTATAAAATGTGATGGGTTTTATTCATGGTAAGTTACTTTCTATTGTGTAAATGGTATTTTTTATTTGTAGTTGACTTTTAACTGGAAATAAGAAGTTTGGGATTGGGGCTGGTGATGTAGGCCATATGGTAGAATATTGCATAGCATGCAGGAGGTCCTGAACTCAATCCCCAGCACAGGATAAATCAATTTAACAATTTAAGAGGAGACAGGAGGATCAGAAATTCAAGGTTATCCTCAGCTACCTAGTAAATTCAAGGGCAGCCTATGATACATGAGACCCTGTCTCAAAAAACAACCAAAATATTGGGGTGCTTTGGTGGATTAAAATATTTAACACCAAATGGTTGGTGTTATTAGTTTCTCTCTTTGAAAGATAAGAAGAAGAGAATTGGAAAAGTTCTACCTGACAATTAGCAAACGAGGTGTGGTGGGGGAGGGGGATGTGAGAACAGAAAGCTTATACATCAATGACATCATTTTTATCCTTTGCTATGAACAAAGATATTTGGAAAGATTTTCTAAGGTTTATCATCCAAAGGCAATCAAAGGAATGGGGAAAGAAATATAATTAAATACAAATGTAGAGTTTTCAATTGAGCAGAACGTTTCTTAGAATTCAGAAGTAATTTTCTGTATGTCCAGATAGACCTTTTTTGAACTTATTTTTCTTTCTTCGTAAAAACTAACATAAAAATTTCTACCGTAAGATTATACATGTAAGTTGGACTCTCAAGTTACAAAATGACACGATTTTTAAAATTTCTATATTTCTGTGTTTTCTTGGATTTTAATTTGGAGATGCAGTGATATTTGTTTACAAATGTCAGCGTGGTGGTGCACACCTTTAATTCCAGTACTCAGGAGACAGGGGCAGTGAATCTCTTTGCATTCCAGGCCAATCAGAGCTACATAAATAAACCACGTCTCAAAGAAAAAAACAAAACAAAAATAAAATAAAAATAACAAATTTTATATTACCATGGGATCATAGCTTTTTTTAAGTTACACAATCCAGGCTTGTGGCTTGAAATATCACCTATGTACTGATGGCTTCCAATCATATTTTTCTAGCCTGGCTATTTCTTCTGAACTCCAAATTCATATCACACCCAATGAATTGGTATCTCAAACAGCAAGGGAACCATAGGCCTCTTGCTTTCACCTCACACCCTATAACTGGCTTCTCTTACAAGCATCACTGCAGTCAGCATCTCCCTACACACTTGGTCTTTGGGCCAAACAACTTGCTTCCTTTCCTTCCCTCCTGCTGGTCAAGCCACATGGTAAGTCTTGTTGGTTCTGCCTCTTCAACACATCTCAGCTGCTGCCTATGATCCTCATACAGACTACTGCCCTCCTCACAGACTCCTCTACAGTGTCAACATACGACACCATCCAAACAAAAGTCCTCCAGTGGCTCCCCAGGCTCCTATCCATGGTCAATAAGACCTTCACAAACCAACCTATCTTCTTCCCCAAACTCCTCATACACTTAGCCCACCATATTTGCAATCTTCCAAGACTTGAACATGCCAGGCATTTATCCTTTCTCTGGCTTAACCTGTCTTCCTTACAGGATCTTCCCATGCCTCTGTTTACCTCACTTAGGTTAACTGAGAGACCTTTCCAGACGTTATCTAAAACATCATCCTCGAACCCACATTGTTTCCTGCTACATAGCTTTAGTTTATTTTGTTCTTAAGACTCATCAGTCCCTGAGAATAATCACTTATCTTTTCATCTGCCTAGTCCCATGAATTTGTATGTAGAGGAGTGTGACCTCTTTGAAAAATGTCATTTGCCACTGTATCTCTGCCAACTGACTAAACAGAACCCAGTATTAACAATATGTTGTGTGCTGGAGAGATGACTCACAGGTTAAGAGCACTGGCTGCTCTTGCAGAGGACCCGAGTTCAATTCCCAGCACCCACATGGCAGCCAACAACCATCCATAACTACAGGTTCTAGGGTTTCTGATGCCCTCTTCTGAAAGGCATGTGGTGTACTTACATACATGCAAGTAAAGCATTCATAGACAAAAATTAAAAACAAATAATTTTTTTTTGGTCTTTTTGAGACAGGGTCTCCCTGTAGCCCCAGCTGTCTTGGAACTCACTATGTAGACCAGGCTGGCCTTGAACTCACAGATATCCACCTGCCTCTGTCTCCTAAGTGCTGGAATTAAGGGTGTGCGCCACCATGCCCGGCCAAAAATAAATAATTTTTAAAAACAATATGATGTATTGTAAAATGCAAGATTGGAGTTGCAGCATGGATTATGTTAATCTGTGTAAATTATTTGCCATATACATCTATTAAAATCACTATATATAATACTGAACTACACAACTTGTGTTTATGTTCTGACTTTTCTTAGAACACTGGGTCCTGATATCTAGATATCAATACAATAGTAATTGTTAAAATCTAATATATTCCAAATGAGCATAAGAAAAGTCATGCTTTCCTGTAAGAAGTATCCAAATTGTTCAAAAAACTTCCAAGGATCTACAGGCACAAAGAAGGGTCAGTAGGCGGGGTGAGAAGGAAAGCCTGTGACACCAGCACAAACAATGCATGACATCGCCACTTTACCCAAAGGTTAGATCATTGAGCTAAGAGCACGTTAAAATTCCTGTTTCCTGCAAGTGCTGTTTCCGGGCATAATCTCTTTACAACTCAGCACTCTCAATTCCAGAGCTTGGTACAACTAGACGCTTCCAGGTTTCTTAAATGTAGCAGACTTAAAAATCAAAATAGCCAGCTTTGGTGGCCCATGCTGGTGGGGTATACTGACAAGGTGGAGGCACAAGGGTTACAAGTTTGAGGCCAGCCTGAGCTATACCTTGTAGGGGCTGGAGGGATGGCTCAACAGCTAAGACTGCATATTGCTCTTGCAGAGGACCCCAGTTTGATTCCCAGCATCCATGTCAGGAGGCTCAAAACTGCCTATAACTCCAACTCCAGAGGATCCAACGCCCTCTTCTGGCCTCTGTGGGCACGTGTACTCCTGTGCACATACCTACACATAGACACATTAAAAATTAAAAATAAATACCTTACATATCCCCAAAGGTCACTTGGTCCTACTAACTGATCAGATATCAAATATGTGTTATGCGAAGATGAAATGAAATAGTGATTTAGCGGTTGATTCATATCTTGATAAACTTTTTTACACTCCTCTTTAAAAAGCAGGCATTCAGGTGAAGACATGTATCTTACAAAGCCTTCAAACGACATCTTGCAGTCTTTTTTAACTACAAAAAATAATAAGTAAAAAGGATGCAGATAAAACATTAGTAATATAAAAATATTATATCTCACCTGTAAGCTTAGTGGTAGAGCATATATCTGAAGTAGTCACTAAAAATATCACTCTATTTCTCATTTTTTTCTAGGAAAACAATTTTTGAAGTAATTTTTATAAGGCATATTTGTGTGTACCTGCTTATCTGTATGTGTACCTGCTTACCTGCAGTGTCCACAGAGCTAGAGGAGGGCATAAGATCCCCCAGGAACTAGAGTTACAAGCAGTTTTGAGCTACACGATGTGGGTGCTGGGACCCAAACTAGGGTCCTCTGAAAGAACAGTGTGGTGGTTTGAAGAATAGCCTCCACATGCTCCAAGTATTTGGACACTTGGTCCCCGGTTCATGGCACTGTTTGGGGAGGGTTATAGAACTTTTAGGAGGTGTGGTCATGCTGAAAGAAGCACATCACTGGGGGTGGGCATGGTACAAAGCCATGCCCATTTCCAGTCTGACTCTGTTTCCTCTCTTTGCACCTTGAAGATTTGATAACTCAGTTTTCTGCTCTGGCCACCTCTTGCCACCATGCCTCCCCACCATGATAGAGTCTCCCTCTGGCACCGTAAGCCAAATAACCTCTTCCTTCTAGAAGTTGCTTTGTTCATGGTGTTTTATCACAGCAACAAAGAAATCACTAATACCGGCAGCAAGTGCCCTTAACTGCTGGGCCATCTCCCCAGCCTGGGCAAACAGTTTTTCTAATTCTTATATGATTGGATAATCATATATTATTTTATTACATCTGATTTTTTACATTATACAAATATATACAACTGTCATATAGATCAATAAACATTACCAATATCTACCTTCTAAGAGCACAGGTTAGGTGCTCTGGTTTTGTCTTTTATTTGAATGGATTGATACAGCATGTATTTCTTATGGCAGTTTGTGTGGTCTGTTCCTGTGCTTGCAAACTGTTACAGCTGCTTTATTTCCATTACTTCACAATCTCATTGTGCAAAGATGCTGTGCTTCATTCATCCATCCCTTGAGACACCGTCATAAAATGTGTTTCTATGAACAACTTGTCCATGCACTTTGGTGCAGATTTGGTTACATGTCTGTTTCTTGCAGGCCTAGGAATGGGCTTTCTGGGTCATTTGCATATCATCACCAATAACTAAGTGACTCAATATAATGTATACCAGAATTATTAGTTTAAGTGGAATATGGTATCTGGATCCAGATGGTCTGCTTCTAAATCTATTTGCTTGCTATATAACCTGGAACATGCTGGTTAGCCTCTCCTAATCCACACAATAGTGGTTACCAGAGAACCTAGCTTTACTTTCGTTTTTGGCTATATAAATGTCCGTTACTATTATTGCTGTTGATTTCAGTTTAACTCCAAAGAAAAGCTGAAATGAATATTCACTTTAGACGAGATTGTGGTCCTTGGAAACCAAGTTTATTTGTAGGAATTGGTCCTATAGAAGTAGGAACACAGACACAAAGTAGTGTGCTCAAACACTCATGTTAACATTGTTTCTAAAAACAAAAAAACAGGAGGAAGGAAACCAAAGAAATCTCAAAGTATGCTACAGTGCTAAGTAGCCATTAACAACTGTATCATAAAAGTGCACAGTGGGATAAGTAATGCTTATGACACCCTGAAAATGAAGACAGCTTTCAAAACACTATTAGTTAAAAAAAAAAAAAAAAAAAAAAAAAAAGCAAGCAAAGCCTGCTATTCCTATTTCGATTAAAAAACAAAAGCTAGAAGAAAAGGCAAAAAAAAATGTATATGCACACAAACCCTCTATTACAAAGCGCTATAAATTATGGAATATAGGAATACACAGAACAAAGCATCATATATCATAATAATGATGGTTTACATTGATTGATTCGGCTTTCCTGTGCAACTAGAGGGCATTGGTGTATCCTCCTTTTGAACTATTGAATAATTGCACAGTATCTTTGATACTAGAATAGAAAACAAGGGGCTAGAGGCTTAGTTGGTAAAGTGTTTACATTTAAAAGCAACAAACAAACAAACAGAAAGAAATCTTGTACAGTAGCACAAGCAGAAACAGGAGGACCTGTAGGGCTCATAGCCAGTCAGTCCAGCCAAATTGGTAGCTCCAGGTTCTGTGGGAGACCCTGCCTGTAAAAACAAAGTGGAGAGTGATGGACAAAGACACCCAACATAAACCTCTGGCTTCCACATACACATACACACTCAGGTGTATGCAGAGAGGGGGAGGGGTAACCGAACATAATAGAAAGCAAAGTCATTTTGTGTCATTTAAAACTACCAGATGGAGAGCTGGTGAGCTGGTTCAGCAGACAAAAGCCTGCTAACCTAAGTGCCATCTCTGGAATCCACAGTGAAAGGAGAGAACCAACTCCTAAAAGTTGTCTTCTGACCCCCCACCCCCTACATCCACACAACATATTTTTTTTTTTACAAAAATATTCTAAAACCGCAGGATTGAGATGAGGATTAATCTCAAGAATTTTGAAAAGCCCATTGAGTACACAGGACATGCTAACTTAAGATGAGATTGGAAATCTTGGCAGCATTTGGGAGTGTAGGATCATACATTAAATTGGTTTTAATAAGACTAAAGGGATCAATAATTATATTGATGAAATGGAAAGTCTTGACTGTACACGACAATGTCAAAGACAGAACTCCGAAGATGACAAGGATGAGCAACATGATACTGGAGATAAAATGCAAATACAAGTCCAAGCTTGTACCCAGCACCATCTTATATATTTAATTTACCACCCTGAGGTAATAGTGCCAGCATAATTTTTTGTGTGATGCTCACTAAATCATGCTACCGAAAGTACTTACCTACAAATGGTTGTTTCTAGATGACAGCAACATCCAGAGCTTGAGTCAGAGCATCAATCAATTTACAACTTCCTTAGAGAAAGCTTGCATAAAAAGGTCAGCGGAACTTCCCAGTTAGTCTTAATGAAACAGCTGCGAGCTACTTTACATGCTCGTGAAAGTCCTTTACATTATTGCAAACTTGAAAAAGGTCAGCGGTGCCTGGCACTGTGCTCCATCACGTCGCTGCGGTGACCCCCGCCCTCCCAGTCTTTGCCGAATGTCATCCTGAAGCCCCAGTCTTAGTTAACTCTGGCCTCCAGGTCCTTTAGGTCTGTGTTCAATGTCTGCCTGTGCTAGCTCATTCTTCCCTCGTGCCTCAAGTTCTAACCGCACTGTCCTTTTCCTGTTCCCCAAATTCTCCAGCTCTGCTCTAATGCTACTCTTCCTAGCACCTCAGATACCGCTCTCATTTGGTCATATGACTTGTTATTTCATGTTATTTAGGCCTTAGCTCAATTAGAACCCCCTTAAAGGATTCTCCCTGAACACTGAAACTAACCTAGACCTCCTGGGTCATTTGTACTCTGCCACCTTTTCTGTTTTATTTCAGATGACTTAGCACTGTCTAGAATGTCCCCTACCTATGCTTAGATAATGCTAATATCCATCTAACCCTCATTAGGCCTGTAAGAATTAATTGCCTTGTTTTCTACCAAATCCATGTCCTCCAGAACGAAACTTGACAGCCACAGATGATTGGAGTGAATTGCAAATATGTGAACCAACAACAAAATCAATTTGGTCTTGTTAAAGCCCATTTTGTTGTATGTTAAATATTGGCGGCCTAGAGCAAGGTTTAGTGGAGTTGCCTAGAATGCCAACTCCAGGGAGGGGAGGGAGTCAGGAGAATCGGGACTTCAAGGTCATCCTCAGCTACAAAACAAGTTGAGGATCCCCTGGGATATATGGGATCCTGTCTCAAAACACCATCAGCAGTAAAAAATGTGTAACCTGTTCTAATTTACTCTGTTGCTGTGATAAAAAAAAAAAAAAAAACACTCTGATCAAAAGCAACTTAGGGAGAAAAGAGTTTATTTCAGTTTACAGGTCCCAGTGCGTCATTAACAAAAGTCAGAGCAGCAATTCAAGTAGGAACTTGAAGCAAAAACCGTGGAAGAATGCTATGTGCTGGCTTGCTGACCATCTCTTGCTCGGCTAGCTTTCCTACACAGCTCAAGACTACCTGCCCAGGAAATGGTGCTGCCCACAGTGGGCTGGGTTCTGCTATGCCAGTTAACACTGAAGACAGTCCCCCACAGACATGCCCAAAGGCCATTCTGATCTAGACCATCCCTCAACTGAGACTCCCTCCTCAGGTGACTCAAGTAGGCAGTCAAAGCTGAGAAGGACATACTCTGAGTTAAATTTCCAAAGCAGAGCCTCAAAGCTCAAACTCCGGAAAAAAAAAATTATTATTTTTTCATTTTAGATATATGAATGTATTTCCTGTGTGTGTATAAGTGTACCTGTGTTGGGGCTAGAGAGATGGCTCAGCAGTTAAGAACACTGGCTGTTCTTGCAGGAGACCCAGGTTCGAATCCCAGCACCCACATGGCACCTAACAACTGTCCATAACTTGAGTTACAGGGGATCCGGCAGCCTCTTCTGTCCCCCATGAACATTGCACAACATGGGTGCATTTAGCTACATGCAGGCGATACATGCATACACATAAAATAAAAACAATAAATAAAATATTTTTTAAAAAAACTAAGTGTACCTGTGTCATGCAATGCCCACAGAAGTGAGAGGGGACATTGGGATCCCCCTGGAACTGGAGTTAAGTTGGTTGTTAGCTGCCATGTGGGTGCTGGGAATCCAACCCAGGTCCTCTGCAAGAGTAGCCACTGCTCATAATCACTGAGCCATCTATCCAGCCCCCACAGCTCAAATTTTTTAATTTAATCTTTTTTAATTTATTTTATTTTATGTGTATGAGTGTTTTGCATGCATGTATGTAAGTGTAACACATGTGGGCAATGCTCACAGATGTCAGAAGAGAATGTGGTGTTGAATCCCATGGAACTGGAGCCACAGACTCTTGTTAGCTGCCATATGTGTGCTGGGAACCAAACTTGGGTCTGGGTCCACTGTAAGAGTAGTCAGTGCTCTTAACTTCTGAGCCATCCCTCCAACCACAAAGCTCGAACTTCTATACCATCCTTGTTAAATGAATATTTTCATATATTATGTCAGTTAATTTCTGTAGCGTTAATTATTATGATTTAAAAATGTTTTGGGAACCAGGCGTGGTGGTACATGCCTTTAATTCCCACACTTGGGAGGCAGAGGCAGGCAGATCTCTGTGAGATCAAGGCCAGCCTAGTCTCTACAGTGAGTTCCAGGCCAGCTGTCGCTATAGGTATCTGAACACTTTAGAAATTCAGTTCAGGGGCTGGAGAGATGGCTCAGTGGTTAAGAACACCGGTTGTTCTTGCAGAAGACCTGGGTTCGAATCCCAGCACCCACATGGCAGCTAACAACTGTCTGTAACTCCAGTTCCAGGGAATCTGACAGCCTCTTCTACATTACATGACACGGGTACACTTACTTACATGCAGGCAGGACATGCATACACATAAAAATAATAAAATATTTTTAAAAAAGAAATTCAGTTAAAAAAAGGAGCTAGACAAAAAAGTAGGACAAGATGTCTCAGTGTACAATGTGGCTCTAGAAAAGATAGATATAAAACATGATTGATAGATAGATGGATGATAGATAGATGATAGATTAGATAGATAGATAGATAGATAGATAGATAGATAGATAGATAGATAGATAGATAGATAGATAGATAGATAGATAGATAGATAGATAGATAGATAGATAGATAGATAGATAGATAGATAGATAGATAGATAGATAGATAGATAGATAGATAGATAGATAGATAGATAGATAGATAGATAGATAGATAGATAGATAGATAGATAGATAGATAGATAGATAGATAGATAGATAGATAGATAGATAGATAGATAGATAGATAGATAGATAGATAGATAGATAGATAGATAGATGATAGATAGGTGATAGATAGATTTGCTCTATGAAATACAAACAAAATTTATATTTTGTAGTTCATCCATACAAAAATTTGAATTTGACACTCATAATTTGTACAAATACTTTATATATGAATTTTAAACTAAGTATACCTTCATCAATAGGCTCGTATTTTTCAATGATCGCCTTTGAAGTAGAGTGATCCTTCTTCTCCAATATGTATTGTTCTTGAGTTAGAAATTCAGCCAGATTTTTTTCAGAAAGTATTTTCCGGTTTTCAGAATACGTGTTGAAAATCTCAATAATTTCTTCTCTGTGCACAATACACCGATAAATTGCTCTAAATTCCTCAATGGTGATTCGTCCTAGTTTCTGTCTGTCATTGTCCTACTAAAAAAAATGACTAGTGGGCTCACAATATAAAAATCAAAAGATACAAAATAAAGGTTAGCATAGTCATGTAACATATGTAATTTATACTTTAAACTTACACTGGATCCTTACTGAAGATAAAATACATTCAACTGTGTGGAGTGACGCCAAAGTTCAGAACTGATTAGTAGGTTATTACTTCCTACACTCAGGAGCCAGCGTGAAAGAGGCACAAAGATGGGGAAAGATGGGCATTGCAGTTATTTTTTTATTACATATTTCCTTTTTCTATTCCATTCCACTTCCAAAAACCATGAACTAAAATCACACAGGCAGGCAGTGTGCTGCAGCATGCCACCTACCTGGACCATACATATCAGAGATGTTAGAGAGCACAGCAAACTCTGGACGCTGTAGTAGTCAGGGCACACCTTGAAGATGGGAAGTCTTGTCTCGGCAATTATGGTAGGATTTGGCCCAGGGACAGTCAAAATGGGTTCTACCAAGAAAGAGTGGATTCACCTAGCTCCTGTGGGAAATTCATATTTAAACTCTATGAGAGAAAAGCCAGGAACATGGGGTGGGCTTAGGTATTAAAAGTAACTGTGAGTTCCTGAGTCCGAAAACAGTCAGACAAAGTGGGACCTGGGGGCTAGGGACATGGCTCAGTTGGTGGAGTGCTTGCCTACTATACACAAGGCCCTGAGTTCAACCCCTAGTACTTTGCAAATTGGACACAGTGTGGCATGCTTATAATCCTGCACTCAGGAGATGAAGGCAGGAGAATTGGAAATTCAAGGTCATCCTTGGCTACATAGCAAGTTCAAGGCCAGACTGGTCTATATAAGCCCTGTCTCACAATAATTAATTAAAATTTTAAAATAGATTTAAAAGTGGAAACAGTATGATTAATTATGTATTGACAATTGGAAGACATGGAAAACTACAGAAAAAGGCAATTGAAGTGGGACATGGAAAATACACACTGAAAACAGCTACCAGTGGAATTATGAGGGAGAAGTCAGAAGGACTTGGGGTAGGACAGGAGCACAGATATAATGCCAACTAGAGAACAGGAGTTCTCCCACCTGGGGAGGTTTAATTTCAAAACAGGCTTTCCTTTTTCTGTTTTGCTTTTTTTTTCTGTGTATGAGTGTTATGCCCGCATGTGTGTGAATGCACCCGTGACGTGCAGTGCCCGAGGAGGACAGAAGAGGACATTGGATCCTCTGGAACTGGAGTTATGGACAGTTATTAGCCACCATGTGGGTGTCGAGATTTGAACCCAGGTCTTCTGCAAGAACAGCCAGTACTATTAACCACTGAGCCATCTCTCCAGCCCTCAAAACAGGCTTTTCTTAAAAGCAACTTTTGTTCTTTTTATTTTTCTCTCAGTCCTTCCAGTAAATTTCTGAATGTGCATGCATTCGGTGTTATGATGAAATACAATCTCTGTGGAAAGTGTTACTCTTTGAGAACTTAGTATATTCAGCATCAAGAACTCGTTCATAAGAAATCCAACAATGATGTATTTAATCAGTAGTATTTAATTGTCCATTTGAAATGACTTAGAGTAATGATATTTACTGATGGTGGCCAGATGCAAGCATCCATGTTAAATATGTGGTCATAGGACTCTCTTGGATATAGGTAAGGATCTATCACTACTTGCCACTATGATTTTAGCCTCATATTTATAGTTTTCTCTTCCTATAAAGAATTCATCAAGACATTGGAAAAGTAATAGTTTTTTTCCTCAAACTCCCCTCATACAATAATATCTAAACAAATTGAAATTTAAAGAATAAAAATAAGTATATTGAGTCTCTTGTTACACCTTGAATTCACAGAACCTGGATTAGAAGGTCATTGTGTTGAGGTAAAGCACTAACAGAAAACATTATTTTCAAACCCCAAAGTTTGTGGTACTTTAGACATGCAAATTCAACTTTCTGAGTTTTATATTTTTATCTGGAAAATAGGAATACCACCTATGCCATCAGACTGCTGTTGAGAATCAGAAAGACACACCAAATAGCTGTTCTAAATACAAATGACTTCTCCGGCATTCTCTATGCCTGGCTCCCTCAGGTCCAGCCTGGTTGTGTCTCGTCTTTTGAAGTTCTTCCCTATGAAGCATACAACACTATGGAGCCCCTGGGGTATAGCAGGAGACAAATACACTGGATATCAGAGAATTTGATATAAAAGGAGACAAGAAGCCATTTGAGCTTGGAACCAAATGTGAATAGTACTGAGTCAGTTCAAAGAGGAGAACTAAGCATGCATAGGAACAACTTGAGGATGCAGGGTCGAGACAGGGGCAAGTTGGAAAGAAAAATAAAATGCAGGCTGTGGTTATCACATCAGATACTGGGTCTCAAGAGCTCTGTAAACAATCATAGCAACTTACAATTAGATAAGCTCAAAGGAATGTGTTTTGGTGTTTAGTAAACTAACATGGTTCCACTATTTGGCTTGAAATTCTAGAATCCGAGGTTCTTGAAAGTGAATATTATGGGAAGCTCAAGAGATGGCTAGTGGTTAAGAGCACTGACTGCTCTTCCAGAGGACCTAGGTCCCAGCACTCAAATGTATGCTAACAATGATTGGTAACTTCAGTTCCAGGAAACCTAATGCCTTCTTCTGGCCTCCAAGGGCATTGAATACGCGGATACACTCACATACATGTAGGCAAAGCACACATATACATAAAATAAAAATAAAGGAAATATTATGAAGTTAAAACAATTTCATTGTAGCCCCATCCCATGCAACTTTCCATAAAATCTTAGTCAGTAAAAATCAAAATGGCCTTATAACTTAACGAAAGTTTTTATTATACACGATTACCAAAATAACTTTTGATAGGCCTCTTGAATAGCAATATGAAAAAAATATATGTTATCCAATGAGTAACAGAAGTTTTGTTACTTCAAGAAAGAAACAGACGCTGTCATCTCACATATGCTCTGATAACTTGTTTTGTCACGTTTTCCCAATGATGGGAGTATCAGCTGGTGTCACAAAAAGTCAGAGCTACAGAGACCAAATGAAACCTCACAAGTCCATGTCACTGGTCAATACCAAAGAATAATTTTGGGTCACAAATTAATCAAATTACTAGAAGTGAAAGCTACATAAGATAGTTAGGACTGTATCACAGAACAGGGGAAGATGGTTGAAAATGGGAAGGTCTAAGTACAAAGAAAAAAACAATAGAAACAATTGGGAAGACGTAATAATGGACAATATAGACAGGATTTGAAAGAGAAAGTGGTGATCCTGCACAGCAGAAATATGAAAAGCAGCAAGCGTGAAGACATGAGCCTGGGGAAGGAGACAGAGAACAGTTAAAACTTTCAGTACCGCTGTATTTATATGTCCTCTGTGTATAAATTGTCCCAGCCCCATGTGTAGACTAATTCCAGAACCACACAGAGATCAGTGAAAAGAAACACTGTTCCCACCACACAAACTGATGTGTGCACAAATAAATCTACGAAATGCAAAGCTAATCACTTCATCTGTCTCTTAAAATGCTCAGAATACTCCGTTCATCTTCAAGACAAACCCAGCTTATGCTGTCTATGGTGTCAGAAGTCCCTGAAGACGTCAGTGATGGTCTCTGCTCCATCATCCTTCTCTTCCTTGAACCTCACACAGCAGGTGCTTGAATTACAGTATGTACAGTTATAGATACTGAGCTAGCTCCTGCTATGGTACAAGCTGGCCCTTCTGTGTCTTCTTAACTTATTAAAGCCTGCTAATCTGGGTGTCATGTGTAGAAATCATTACTATGTCCCCATGTCTGTCCCCCATCTTGTTTTAGATACATGCTCCTTCTAGAATTGACTCAGTCAGGGCATTTGTCATTTGTGTCTTGTATTCTTGGTATTTAATAGAGTGCCTGACCTAAGGTACTCAGAATATTATCACCTAAAAGTTTCAGATGTACAGATAAATTCTACCAAAATGTTTTATAGTATTTTAATTCTCTCTTTCTCTCTTTTTTTCTCTCTCTCTGTGTCTGTGTGTATGCTTTCTGTGTATGTGTGATGTGTGTGTCTGTGTCTGTGTGTTTGGGAACACACATACCATGGCACAGCGACTGTTAACTGCCCACTTTTGTGTGTACCGGGTACATTCATAAATAATATCTGATGTACTACTTAGAACAATCCTGTAAGGTAAATATATTCACTTTCCCATTCCACAGACTAAAAAGTTTGCTCAGGAGATTTCTTATTCACTCTTCAGCTGACATCTATTAGTGCCTAAAATCTCTGTATTGAACACTGTCACCTAAAGAAGCTTTGTTCCATCAGATTTGTCTCAGTAGGTTTCCTCCAACAGAAAGCACCCCATGAAGAAAGGAAACCTTAGCAATTAGAATTAAATGAAAGAGTTGAATGCTCTGCACTGCGGAGATGGGTCGACACAAGAATGAGAACTGGAATTCGGATCCCAGAACTCAAGGAAACAGCTAGAAAGAATGACAGCCCGCCTGTCACTCCAGCCCTCAATCAGAAGAGAGATGATCCCCAGGCAAGCTGGCTACCTGAACTTGTCAAATCAAACCCTGTCTCAGTAAATATATTGGAGAGCAATCAAGGAACAGCACCTGATGCCAACCTCTGACCTCCACACATACGCATACACATGCAAACATGCGTGTATAACACATACATATACACGTACCAAAAAATGAGTTGAATGTTCGAGCTGATTAATCTTAAGCTATCCACAAAATTCAGTTAACCAATATAGCTTCCCTAAGTTTTCTGTTTAATCAATTTTTTAATTTCAATTTAGCCAGTCACAGCAAAGTATCAGAAGGCTGGGAATTAGACAAGAGTAATTTATCATAATCATCAGCCTCATTTTGTAATTTATGTTTTTATTAAAGTTCTCAAGGTCATGAGGACATTTTAAAGACGTTTTTATATATTCTAAGCAAATTCTGTCCCTAATTTTTAAAAAATTTTATTTATATAGGTATGTGGGTATGTGCCACAGTGCACATGGAGAGGTCAGAGGACTGCGGGAGTCAGTTCTCTCCTTCCACCATGCAGGTTTCAGGAACTGAACTCAGGTCATCAGACTTGGCAGCAAGTGCCTTTATCCACCGAGCCATTTAGCTGCCCCCTCACCCCTAATTGTCCTGATTAACCTTGTTCTCACAATGACTTCAAGAAGATTTTGCTGAAATGGAGAGATGGCTCAATGGTTAAGAGCAATGGCTGTTCTTGCACAGGACCCGACTCAATTTCCATAACCCACATGGTGGCTAACAACCATCCATAAATCTAGTTCTAGGGGATCCGATGACATGGGTGCATATGCATACATGCAGGCAATACACATAAAAAATAATAAAATATAAAAAACTAAATAAAAAGATAAAAAATAAAGATTTTGCCTAACAAAATAAAGCTGCAGGCCTGCCCACATCTAAATAACCAAATTTCCTTCAGTGACTCATTTCCACACTTTTACAACTACTGAACATTCTAGCCAGTGTTTTGAATATGGTATGTGTTATACCCAACTCCACTTCAGAGCATCTCTGAGCCTTAAAGAAATTCAGAGCCACAGGAGAATGATTGACTACTATATGTCAGTTCCCATTTGATGCAGGTTTTTAACCTATTTCTGCTTCTACATCAAACTGTATGTGAAATTTATTACACGAGGAAGCACACAACTTTCTCCCTTCTAAGAGATGCATTGGATAGAAAACGCTAGGTATAAAGTCTTATGCAGAAAACAGACAAAAACTCGTGTTCTTCAAATGTGAATTTAGACATGAGTTGATGAAAAATTGTAATCATTTCCTCCTGTAGACTAGGCTGGCCTCAAACTTACTGAGTAGCTGAGGATGGCCTTGAACTCCTTATCCTCCTACCTCCACCTACCAAGAAATGAGATAGCAGGCATGTGCCACCACACCTGATTTTATATAGTACTGGAGCGCTAACCCAGGGCTTCATGCATGCTAGGCAAGCACTTTACCAACTAAGCTACATTACCAGCTCCTGATAGGTTACTATGGTATACAGTCCTTCAATTCTCAGAGATGGCTCTGAAACTGTCCTTCACTACAGTCTCCCAAGAGCAGATTTTCATTTTCTGAATCTTTTCTCTGGAATAAAGTTGAGGCTTAAATCTCATTGAGAGAAATGGGCTTGGGAAAGTTTCCACAGATCTCAGGTTTCCAGGTGTTTTCTGAGCAGAGGTACTGACCGCCCTTTTACAAAGATATTTACGCAGCAAACATACCTGGGAGCAATAGCCTCTGCTTCCAATGCAGGATCATTTCCTGTCCACTGCAATGATGATAATATCCAGGGCAAAGATTGGACAGGCTAGCTGCCCTTCATAAAAGATCTAAAACTCTTAAGTAAGAGATCTTGTCCTCTCTGTCACAGCCACTCCAGGTGTCACCTGGTCCTCCCACATCACCTTGGCAACCTGGGCTCAGGAAATCAAAATGCTAATACTTAGGCAACTGTCATTTCTGTGAGTAAAAGCTGGCTGTTCCCTCTGACCCACAAGCCTGCCCCTACGAGGATGTCCATTTTTTTCTGTTGAAGAGGCCACCTATGCTCCATGTATGTTCTTAACACTTCAGTAGAAGCTCAGTTGACTGCATAACAATGGTTTGTTTCTGGGCTCCCTGTATTGTTTCACTGGTTTCTAACCATACACTATACCCATACCATATTAGTTTTTTTTAATTATTTTTATTTATTTTTTCATGTGTATGAGTGTTTGCCTGTATGTACATGAACCACATGCATGCAGCACCCACAGAAATCAGAAGAGGGCACCAGATCCCCTGGACCTGGAGTTACAGACAGATGTTAGCTGCCATGTGGGTGCTAAGTACTAAACCCAGGTCCTCCAAGAGTAGCCAGTGCTCTTAACTGCTGAGCCGTCTCTCCAGCCCCTTTTTGGATTTCTGTTGGGATAGTTCATTGCTAGTGTACAGAAATAAGACCAGTTTTTTTTACTTGGTGCTACATTCTTCCACTTATTAAACTTATTAGTTCTGATAGGATTTTTTGCAGTCTTTATTTATTTTTTGCAGAGAAGATTATCTGTGAATGGGGCACATTTTACTCTGCCGTTCCAATTTGAATGTTTTATTTCTTTTTCTTACATATTTTCTCTGGCTAGAATTTCTGTTACTGTGTTGAATAGAATAGTTGGGAATGGGCATCTTTGCCTTGTTCTAGATGAGAGAGGAAATCCTTAAGAGCTTTTCTCCACTGAGTATGCTAGCTCTTGGCTTTTCATTTACAGACTTTGTCATCTTGAGATAATTTCCTTTCATACCTTCTTCTGAGAATTGTGTCTGTGCAAGTGTGTGATACATACACACATGTGGACATAAATGCCAGAGGTCAACACCAGTGTCTTTCTCAATAGCTTTTCCACCTTATTTCTTGAGACAGGGTCTCTCCCTGAACCAGGAGTACACTCACTGACTAGCTGGCCACCAAGCTCCAGGGACTCTCCTGGCTCTGCCTTCCCAGCACTGGCTTATTTACATGGATTTTTACATGAGTGATAAGGATCCAAATTCAAATCCTCATGCTTACATGACAAGTACTTTATTGATGATATAACTATCTTCCCCAGCCCTGAAAGGTTTTATTTTTTAACTTAAAAAAATAAAAAAACAAAAAAAGAGTAATAAGTTGTCAAACGCTCTTCTGCCTTTTTAAAAATGATCACGGGGGGACTGGAGAGATGGCTCAGTGGTTAAGAGCACTGCCTGCTCTTGCAGTGGACCTGGGTTCGGTTCCCAGCACCTACATTGCAGCTAACAACTGCCCATAATTCCAAATCCAGAGGATCTGACTCCCTCTTCTGGGCTCTGCAGGTACTACACAACACTGGTGTACTTATGTAAATGCAGGTGATACACATATACACATAAAATAAAATAATTTTTTAAAGGTATAGACATTTTAAAAATGATTATGTGAATCTTTTATTGTTGATTTGGTATATAATTGGTTTCTATCTACTGAATCATCCCTGCATGTGAGTGGTCCTAGTCTAGAATCTGGTCATAATATAGAATCCTTTTTGAAGGTTGTTAAATTTGGCTTCTTAGTATTTTGTTGAGGAATTTTAAATCTATGTTCATCAAACATAATTGCTTGTAGATTTCTTGTGCTATCTCTGTTTACCTCTGGTACCAGGGTTTCATTATATTTATAAAATGACAAGTATTCCCTCTTCTATTTTTCTATATGCACTAAAGATTGGGATTGGTTTTGATTCTTCTCTAAATCTTCACCCATGAAGCCATTTGGTCCTGGGCTTTTCTCTCTTGAGTATTTTATTTTATTAGTTTTTTTATTACTGACCTAATTGAGGTTTCTGGTTCTATTTATTGTATTTAGGTATTTCTCTATTTCTTACAAATCACCAATTTGTTGCTATGTGATTGTTCTTTTCCCTTCTGATGTTCTTTATTTCTGGAGGATCACTTGTAATGCCTCCTCTTTCATTTATAAATGTATTTATTTGAGCTTTCCCTCCTTTCTTCTGACTTGCTAAGGGTTTGTCTTTTTTTCTGCAGTTTCTTGTGGGGAGACAGAGTCTCCCTGTAGCTCCAGCTGGCCTGGAACTTGTTATGTAGACCAGGCTGGCCTTGATCTCACAGAGCTCTCCCTGCCTGAGTGCTGGGACTAAAGGCATGTACCACTACAGGCTTTTTCTGCTCTTTTTTATACTGTTTCATTCACTAGTGTGCTAATGCAGTTTTTGTTTGGTGGTAGGGGTGTGTTTTGTCTTTCAAGACTAGGTCTCATATAAGCCAGGCCAGCCTCAAACTCATTAGGTAACTGAAATTTAATTTGAATTCTTGATCCTCCTTCCTCAGGCTCCCAAATGCTAGAATTATAAGTATGCCCTACAACACCCAGCCTTTGTGCTAATCTTCATTATTCCCTGCTTCCTTCTAGCTCTTAATCTTACCTTTTTTTCCCGCATAATCAAAAAGAAGAAAGAAAGAAAGAAAGAAAGAAAGAAAGAAAGAAAGAAAGAGAAGGGAGGGAGGGAAGGAAGGAAGGAAGGAAGGAAGGAAGGAAGGAAGGAAGGAAGGAAGGAAAGAAGTCCACTAGCATTCATTTTATTTTACATTTAAAAATTTATGATTTTGATCCTTGTACAACCAATTCTAATTTTGCCTCTCAGCCTAGGTCTGGTATGACCATTTCTGTACACTCAGGAAATCTTCCAAGTCAATGGCCTGGTATCTTTTTTAAATGTTTTGTTTACTATTTTTATTTTATGTGTATGAGTGTATTGCCTGCATGTTTAATGTAAGTGAACCCATGTTGTGCAATGCCTGCAGAGGTCAGAAGAGGGCATCAGATCCTAGAACTGGAGTTACGGATGGTTGTTAGCTGCCATGTAGGTGCTGAGAATCGAACTTGGGTCCTCTGCAAGAGCAGCCAGTACTCTTAACCATTGAGCCATCTCTCCAGTCTCTGCCTGGTATTATTTTAAATTTTAGTAATATCTAATTTTACCTCCTACCTAAACCCTCTCCAATTGGATTATAAATGTATTTGGCACAATTAATTCATTTTGTTCTTCAGTGCAATGTTCCATATGTATTTTCTAAAGAAACACTCAAATACCTATTAATGTTCACTTACATGGGATTAAGTCCTTCACAGGATGGGAAAGGCAGGGGGTGGGTGTCATCTCACCTTAAAAATATGTTTTACATGAGCAAAGTTGCACTGAATATTTAGTTTTTCAAGTAATCTGTAAGTATTTTCAATGTTGATTTTTCCACCTCTAAATTCATCCTGAACCTTTGACAAAAACCATGTATGAAGCACAGGAAGTCAAGGAAATCTCAAAGAAAGTCACCAAGTATTTAAAGTCCCCATTTGCCTTCAATTTTTTTAATGGTTATTCTAACTGTACTTAAGCTGCTATATAATAAATACTATTTAACAAAATGATATTGTTATTATATAATAGTAAAGACATAAATGGGCATAACACAATTAAAATGCAGGAAAAATTTTAAAACTTGAGAAAGTCACCACTTGAGAATTCAGTATACTATTATTACAATGTACTGGCTGAAAACTAAGACTTCCAAGCCTCTGGACTCCAAGATCCTCCGACCTGCCTGACCTCCCTCATCCAGAAAGGTGGGCAAATCAACACTAAACCTTATAGGAGGCAAAAGCATTAACAAGTTCACAGCATATTGTTGGCCACAACTTCTAGTACTGAGCACTCAGTAAATATTAACCATGATTGATATTATTATTCTTATTACTCTTGCTATTTCACTAGTCAAATGTCCCATTACAAGCCTGCCTCCAAAACCATTTCAAATACCATCATAAAACCCAGTTGGTTGTGTACTCGTCTATCGTGCAAAAGAGCCTGGATTCAATCCGCAGCATCTCATAAAGCAAATGAGCTGGTGCACACCTGTAATCTCAGCACCAGAAGGTGAAGGCAGGAAGATCAGAAGTTCAAGGTTATCCTTGGCTACACGGAAAGTGTTAAGCCAGCCTAGGCTATATGAAATTCCATATCCAAACAAAATAAACAAACGAAAACAAATAAAAATCTCCAGTGGTGGTTGAACTTGCACTGAGGGAAATCTTGGGGCACTAATTTTACATAATAATCCTTAATACAAATGACAAAAATGTATGAACTCCAGTGGGGAGGGTGCCAAAGAGGAAGGGGGGAGGGGGTATAAAGATGATTTTTTGTATGAAATACACAAAAATTCAATAAAATTTTTTTAAAAAGAAATGCACAAAACAAAACAACAAAAAAGCTCCAATGACTATATATTTGATATGATAAAGAAAAGTACAGGAATCAAATTTACTTATTATGAACAGATAAACTAAAAAATTTAGGATAGATACTTCAACTTGAAAATTCAAAGATTGAGATAAAATAGTAGGATAAAATAATAATAAAGCCATGGAAGCCATAGGTAAAAAATTGTTAGAGCTAATGAGCTGTTCTTAAACTTATTGGCTATGATTCAATATGGTAAAGTTCATTTTCTTACAATAATAATAATAATAATAATAATAATGGTAACAGGAGTCTAAGGAAACCCAGAAAAGCTCAGAACAACTGTGCAGAAAAGTAGGACGTTCATACTTAGATGGCACACACTTAAATTCAGGACTCTATAGAGTAACAGTCAAATGCAGAAGATGAACCAAGAGGAAGAAAAGCAACGGAACAGAAAGACCTAATGAATGGATATTTGGCTTCTGCGCTGTCATGGATATCTCGTTTCCAAGGTTTCATAGTCTGATACATGTTGCCTTCTTTAGAGGTATCTCCTCTTCAGACAGTGTCATCGGTTCCAAATATACCTAACTCTGCCTCTTTGTGGAAAAGGAATTTTGTAGTGTGCACGGGCTGTTATCTCTGCCACGGACTTTCTAGGGAGAAACCAGAGAACACAGCACTGTTACCTCTTTGAAATTAGCTCACACTTAAGTCTTACCAAAAAAAAAAAAAAACCCATCATGAAAGATGTGGCCCTCTATGAGCCAGTCCTAAAGGTCTGACTTCTTCATTCTGAACATTTCCAACCCCACAGTGTGCTTTTATGTGCAGCATCTGTCTGGCATTTTTCCATAAATTCCCATTATATGTCTATTTTTACGTGTGTGTGTGTGTGTGTGATTGCCATGCCCACATGTGGAAGAGGACAACTTGCAGGAGTCGGTTCTCTCCTACCATATGGGTCCTGGGGACCAAACTCAAGTCATCAGACTTGGCAGCAAGCTCCTTTACCAGCTGAGCCATCTCCCTCATCCCCCGTGTATCTCGCTTTATTTTTCTTCTTTTGTTCCCAACCCCTCAAACCTTTCATCACCATGTCTGTCCAGTGGAGGGAGGCACCTATTCTAATGGTCCAAGTGGAAATCAATGCCCCTAGGACAACTGAAAATATAACACCCTGTCAAACGCTGTCTAGAAACGCTAGGCTATTTCTCTAGATGGATGACAACACCCAGCACACCACAGAGAGACACATACGCTTTTGAAGAATACTGTTCAGGAAGCTAAGTTCTTAAAATCCTCACAATTGGGATAGCTGGTTGGCTGGTACCACAGCTGCCAGGTGACTCCTTTTCTTCTTGTGGTCTGAGCACCCATTGTGACATCATAAGTTCCATGCTTCCTAAGGCAAGCTCCTTTCCAACTTCACCAGGATGGGCAGGGCTTAGCAGCTGACCTGTCCTCATGCTTAGACACACTGACCTCAAGCTTGGAAGATTAACACCTTGAATGGGCAAGGTGTCCCATGGACTGCTCTCTCCTCCTGTGAACAGGCTTCAATTCAGATGTTTTACTTCTGCTGCGATCAATTATGTCACTCAGCATTTTGAGAAGGAAAGAAAAAGAAAAAGTAATTCGAAGACTCTTAATTCAGGCTCCTCCTGGGGAATTTTTGAACGCCTTTGACGATCTCTGTCTACTTATCCGAGATAAGAAACTTATGCACCAACAGGGTGAGTGCGTTGGCCATCAGCACTGCCAAAAATACTATGTACCACTCTGCATCAATGGCAACCCAGTCCTCTTATCTCACCACAATGTGATGGGCGACTTCCGATTCTTTGACCATCAAAGCAAACTTTCTTTCAGATTTGACCTGCTTCAAAATCAGCTGAGAGATATCCAAAGCCACGGTATCATTCAGAATGAGACTGAATACCTGAGATCCGTTGTTCTGTGCGCCTTAAAACTGTACGTGAACGATCACTACCAGATGGGAAATTGCAATGTGCTGAGGAAAACCATCAAAAACAAGGAGTTCTTGATAGCTTGCATCGAAGATCACAACTACGACAACGGGGACTGTTGGAATGGTCTGTGGAAATCTAAGTGGATCTTCCAAGTGAATCCGTTTCTCACTCAAGTAACAGGAAGGATTTTTGTGCAAGCTCACTTCTTCTGGTGCGTCAACCTTCACGTTGAAATCTCCAAAGACCTCAAGGAAAGCTTAGAGGTGGTGAACCAAGCTCAGCTGGCTCTCAGTTTCGCAAGGCTTGTGGAAGAGGAAGAGAACAAATTTCAAGCCGCCGTGATGGAAGAATTACAAGACTTGTCCAACGAAGCCCTGAGAAAAATTTTACGGAGGGATCTTCCAGTGACCCGCACACTGATCGACTGGCAGAGGATACTCTCTGACTTGAATCTGGTGATGCACCCTAAGTTAGGGTACGTCATTTACTCAAGAAGTGTGTTGGGCAACTGGATCATATTAAGGCGGTTGTCTCCTGCCAAGTGGTTCTGTTTCTGGGGAGGGGGTGTTTGCACATAACTGAGCAGCTCCTGGACTAATTGGGCAGTCGCTAGTCCTATGAAAGTTTAAATAAGGAAAAGAATAAGAAGTCGGTCATTCTAGCAGTCAGTATTCAGTGATTTATAGTGGGGAGGTGGCCAGGATTAAGGGTGTGTGTGTGTGTGTGTGTGTGTGTGTGTGTGTGTGAGAATTCCACATCTCTGGAACTGTGTAGTTAGACACATAAGCATCACTGTGTGATCTTTTACATTACTCAGTTCAGTCTTAGACCAACCAAATATGGTAGACTTTAATAAATGACATTGGATTTGGCTAATTCCATAAAACCAACTGAATTTGAAAATCTAAGCTTATCAGTTAAGGGTGTGACTTCTCTCACAAGAGGATCTGAATTAGTTACCAACACCCATGTTAGGCAGCTCACAACCATCTGTAACTCCAGCTTCCGGGGATCTGACGTTTCTAGCCTCTGTGGACACTGGCAGCCACATGTGCATACCCACACATAGACACACACGTACACATCATTTAAAAATAATAAAAATAAATCTAAAAGAATCGAGCTCAGATGACAGAGTGTTATTATTACACCTGGTCCCACTTCCCCCTTGCTTGCCACCTTGTTTTGTTGAGCCCTTACAAAGTCATCAGTATAAACACTTTACAGATACTTCATGACAAGCCTGTACTAAATGTTTAGTATGCAACACTTCATCATCCTGGTTCTAGTATTAACTTCACTTTACATAAAAAGAGCCGAGTTTCGAGTCCTTTAAGATACCAGTTTCGGTCTGTTCAGGCTGCTATGAAAATATACCATTAGGTGTGGCCAGGCTATGTGACTTCAGCCTGTAAAGGTACCTGCTGCTGAGACTGAACACCTGAGTTCTATGCCCGGGACACAAATGGTGGAAGTCTAGGACTGACTCCACAAGCTGTCCTCTGCCTTCCGCATGCACCCACTTCTTCCCTTCCCCACCCAGAATAAAATAAAATAAATGTAAGCGAGCAGCTAATAATAGAAAACTGGAACTCACAGTTTTGAGGTTGGAAAGCATAAGATCTCAGCAGAGTGGGTGTCAGGTGAGGGATCTGTTTCCTCACAGGGGGAGTTTCTCCATCTCCTCACAGGATGGAAAGGGCAAGACAGATCACCAGAGTCTCATAAGGGCACTAAACCTGTTCATTAAAGCTACAAACTCAGGATTTCCCAAACTCTCCATCCTCTAAGGCCACCACCCTGAGGATTACATTTCACCATTCAGACCAGAGGAGTCTGGTCACACTGGCAGATGTATGTGACTGAAGAGTGTTCACACTGTGTGGGATCTCAGCCATCCAGGGAGGCCTGATTCATTATGTGATGGTTTGAAGGTGGCAACGGCCCATTTACTGAATGCTTAGTCCCCGGCTAGTGGCATTATTTTTGGAGTTTCTGGAAATTGGAGATGGGGTCTTGTTGGAGGAAGCAGGTCACTTGAGGGCATGTTTTTAAAGGTTACAACTGGTCTCTGGTCCCTTCTTTGCATCCTGTCTGACATGAGGTTAAACAGTCCACTCCACCTTGTGCTCTACCACCATGATGTTCTGCCCATGTGCATGCAGCCCAGGGAACATGGACTGAGCCCTCCTGTGCTGGTTAGTTTTAGTTAAGATGATACAAACTAAAGATACTTGGGAAGAGGGAACCTCAACTGAGGAATTTCCTCCATCAGACCTGCCTGTGACATGTCTCTAGGGCATTTGTTTGATTGCTAATGGATGTAGGAGGGCTCACTTGCTGTGGGTATTACCATCATCCTTGGGCAGGTGAGGCTGGACTGTGTGAGAAAAGCGGCTGAGCAAGGCAGGAGAAACAAGCCAGCAAGCAGTGTTCTTCCATGCTCTGCTTCAGCTCCCCTGCAGGTTCCTACCTTGGGTTCCTGCCTTAACTTTCCTCGGTGATGGACTGTGAACCATAAGCCATATAAATCCTTTCCTCCCCAAATGCCTTTCCAGGGGTTTATCAAGGCATCAGAAAGCAAATTGGGGTCCTCTGAAACCATGAACCAAGAGAAACCCTTCCTCCCTCATGTTTCTGTCAGGTGTTTGGTCAATGATGAGAAGAACAGCACACAGGAGCACTGTGCTCTGCTGATCAACGACCACCAAGCATGCCACACCAAGACATCCCAGAGCAGGTAACTGTTGCCTTCCAGCTCAGCAAGTCCTTGGAGATGTCACCCAGCCACTGTCCCCGCATTTCACTGGTGTCTGCTCTTTCAGTGAATGCCAATCTTAAATCCAATAAACAAGATTATGGAAAAACAGTAGGAAGACCCCATCTTCCAGTTCTGAATTACCTGGAAAGGAAAGTATTTTGTGCCTTGAGTGCATGCAAATGAACAAAGATTTAGTTCTACTCAACAAACATCAGAGCAGAGAAGTCTATGGAAGAGTTCCTAAACCTCAAATCTTTGCCCCAACTACTAACTTATTTGTTTGCTTATTGTGTGAGGGGTGTGTGTGTGTGTGTGTGTGGGTTCGTGTGTGTGTGTGTGTATGTACATGCCTAGGGAAGCAGCAGGTCAATGTTGGTGTTGTCCTTGATCTCCATCTTATTTTTGAAGCAGAGTCTCTCACTAAGAGGCTAGACCGACTGGCTAGAGAGTTCCCAGGATCCTCCTGTCTCCACCCCCAACACTGGGGTTACAAATGGGTCACCACACTGGATTTTTCATTTGGGTTCTGGGGATATGAACTCAGGTCCTCACGGCTGCACAGCACATACTTTACCCACTGATTCATCTTCCCAATCCTGGCTCTTAAGTTTTATTAGAGAATTTCAAGAGAATTATCTGGGTTTAACTTCAAAAACACAAGATCCTGGAGCCCATTCTAGGATTCTGATTTAGCAGGCTGGGATCTCTCTCTCTCTCTCTCTCTCTCTCTCTCTCTCTCTCTCTCTCCTCCTCCTCCTCCTCCTCCTCCTTCTCCTCCTACTGAGATTTCTTGTCCTCTACCACTAAGCTACAACCCCAAGTCCAGCATATCTATACTGTTAGACCAATATCAGAACTATCAGAGGTAGCTCTGACACAGAGGCTATCAACCAGGAACACAATTTAGGCAACGGAGCCATAATTTATTTAAAATCATTTCTCACCAAACCATTGCCCAGCAGACACTGTTCCCACTGCTTACTGTGTATGGCCCAAAGCCAGGCTTTCATCTGTCATGTGAAAAAAGAAAATCCTTCTCATGTACTAAAAAGAAGCCATCATCTGGACCCTTTAACAAAAATGTGTGATAGTTTATGGTTACAGCTGTAAATATGATTTTCCAGATCATTCCAGAACAGGACTCGATGGTTTATGGGAAAATTAGAGACATTGAGCTCCCACTCTAAGTAAGTAATTTAGTTAGTTAGTTAGTTAGTTAGTTAGTTAGTTAGTTAGTTAGTTAAATTAGTGTCATGCTAGTGTGATAAAATACCCTGATAGATGCAAGGTAAGAAAGGAAGGGTTTATTTGGGGTTATAGTTTAAGAGTTCAGGCCATTATGGTAGGCAAGGTGTGATGGCAGGAGCCTGAGGCAGCAGGTCACACCTGAGGCAGCTGGTCACATCACATCCACAATCAGGAAGCAGAGAGTGATGAATTCTGGTGCTTAGCTCACTTTCTCCTCTTCATACAGACCACGACCCATCACCAAGGAATGGTGCCACCAGCATTCAGGGTGGGCCTTCCCACTTTAATTACCCTAATCAAGAAAATCCTCACACGCATATCCAGAGGTTAGCTTAATTCAAATAATCGCTCACAGCATACTTGTCTCATGGATGACTCTAGATCCTGTCAAATTGACCATCAATACCAACTATCACATACACTAACTTGTGGCTTTAACAGTAATGTTACTGAGTGTGTAATCTTGGCATTCAGAAAGCTGAGACAAGAGGATCACAACTTCAAGTTCAGCCTGGCCTACATAATGTGAGCCTCTCTCTAAAGACGAAACAAAAACTACTATAAACAAAAATAATATACTGGGCCGGGTATAATGGTGCACATCCTTAACCCCAGCAACTCAAGAGGCAGAAGCAGGCAAATCTCTGTGAGATCGAGGACAGCTTGGTCTACCTAGCAAGTACCAGGCCAGCCGGGACCCACAGAGTGAGACCCTGACTCAAAAAAACATTATCGATATTTTAAGATATATGTCACATGTAAAAATTGTAGATAATGCTTAAAATTTAAAGTACTTTGATTTATTTTTTCTATCTGGCTTTTAGAATTATTTTAAATATTAAGGATATATAACATAAAATTTATATTTCGTTCTTTTTACATAATGCATGTATCATAAACATTGTCCCATGTCATCCAAAACTTCCTGAGCATATACATTGAATTATTTAGATGGTATTCACACTATAAATGAACCATAACAAGACAGCCTTTTCATACTTCATATATAATTCACATATTTAGCATTTTATTCTGCTATCAGTTATTCTACAGTGAGCATATATTTTCCCACATCTTGGGTTGTTTCCCTTAAGATAAATTCCTCAAAGTTGCATATTAAAAAGACAGTCATTAATGGTCAAACTACATACTGCCAAATGCTCTGCAGAAATACTTTTTAACAACATTTATAACCCCTTCAATAACATTGAGAAACTGCCTCCTTGACACACACCTGTAATCTCAGCACTTGGGAGACAGAAGCAGAAGGATCAGGTGTTCAAGGTCATTCTCAGCTTCATAGCCAGTTTGAAGCCAGCCTGGGCTACAGGAGCCTCTATCTAACCAAAACACAAAAGGAAGGAAAGAAGGGAGGAAGGGAGGGAAGGAGGGGAGGGAGGGAGGGAGGAAGGGAAGGGAGGGAAGGCAAGAAGGGCCTAACTACAAAGGTCTTGACAATAGTATCAATTTATCATTTAAAACAATACAGTACAGAATCTTGAAAAGGTATTTCATTAACTTATGCCACATTATATACCAAGAGCATTCACTGAAGATTATGTACTTGGT